AGGACCATGTAAGACCATTTGTTGATTAAAGTTCTGTATTATTTATAGAAATTTATATTAGTAAGTTTATAAAGAATATTATTTTGTTTTAGAAACTTTGAGTGACTATCGTGGGCAGATTTTATTATTGAAAATGTTATTAAAGTTTGTCACGTAAAAAAATTTAGATACATCTACGGGATTGTAAAAAGTTATTATAAATATTTATTCTCTCATTATAAAGCACCAATTAACTACTAATTTTTCTGCTATACGAATTATCTCGCACAGTAAATAAATGTAAACTGTGTAAGTAAATGGTGAATTTCTGATGAGTTTCTTAGCAGAGTTTTTACTTATTTCTGCCTATCATCACTTTATTTTTACCATCTACTCTTTTTTGTTCATGAAGTGCAATACACTTCACCAAGAACAACCACGAGTTTCAATATTAAATTCCTTTATTATAATATATTCAATATTATATCCTAACCATAACATGATTCGACACCATTTAATTATCTTCCTTTGTCTATGTGACCATATTTTCAGATACTAATCCCCTACGTTTGAGCTACTATGTATATTTCATTAGACCATATTTAAACTACCTTTTCTGTTTCAGTACCTCATGGCAAAGGTTGTTCTGGAAGAAGAGAGTTACTCTTGGTTTTGGAGGGTGATCTTTACTTAGTTCCTTTCCCAGTTTTGAAACCTCCTCCAACAAATGAAAATGCAACAACGGAGTACCTGAGTGAGAGGTTTAGTCTGTTAGTTGTTCCTTCTCTTACATCTCTGCGAGCCAACCAGAAGTCTCGCAGCTCTGCCAACGGGAAAAGCCCTGAGCAAGGTATGTTCTTTGAAATAATCATTTTGATTCTTTGATTCTAGTAAAAGGGTTTAAACTTCTTACTTTAAATACATATTTTACTTTTGGATTTGTTTTGCTTGTTTGTACTACATAAGAAATGGTTAAAGCATATACATGTGTGAGCATGATCAAAATTGTGCTTTTTCTTAAAGCCTACTCAAGCACTGTGTATTAGTAGTATGTATACTTTGATAAACATATACAATGTATATATGTTTCTATTTGTAATATAAAGTTCCTGTATACTTTTTATTACAAAAGTGTTACTAAAGTTTGTCCTTAGAAAAATACAATCGAGAAATGCAAGAATTTGTGAATGATAGTAAAATTCCAGTAAGGGAGTCCATTCAAATGTTATAATCTGAATAAATAAATAAAACCAGAGCTTACTGTTTTTCTTAGGTAACATGACTGCTCTTGTGGTGGGGAACCCTAGACTACCCTCCACAGTGACAGAACAGTGGGGTTGGAGTGACATCCCCCACGCGGAACAAGAAGCAGCTATGGTGGCAGAGATGCTGCAAGCTAAAGCTCTTGTCGGCTCTCAGGTATGATAAGATTCATTTTATTGTTGTGTTATCATCGATGTTGTGGACACCGTTTGACAAAATATTATTAGATTTGTTACTTTGGGTGACACATTTGTATTGAGTCACGAATTCGTGATTTTCTTAGAGTTCAGCTAGCTTACCTGAAAAAGTTATTGAGTAAAGGGGTCAATAGATAGTAGATACACAATAAAAGATCACAAAACAAACTTAAATATTTATGACTTCGTACGAGAAAGGAACAGATTGAAGAGAATGAATGAATGAAAATACTTAATTATTAGAGTCAAATTTAAGACCACACCTTTCCTGGAATTAGCCTCAAAAGGTAACAGAAATGTCTGTGAATGAACGATTTTATTTCTCAGGTAAGCTATCAAGATATATTTCAAAACAATTCCTTTTGACACATTTTCTATGTTGAAAATAAACTATTACCGTAAGTCTTATGGTAAGACTTAAACCCACATCCGACTTTTTTAATGTCGCCAGAGGCCAAAAACATTATCCGGTTCAAATTTATGTATACACATAAAAAAACACATGTTGGCACAGGTATATGTCCATTAGTACAATAACTCATGTAAAAATTATTATATTTTGATTAAATTTTGCACAAACCTATGTTAATTTAAGCAAGTTTGCAAACCAAAGTGATAAAAAGAATAATTAAATTAAATTAATTAAAAAATTAAGTTTGTGACCAAAGTGTTGAATGGGAAAGGGGGTTTTATGGGATATTCATTTTTGACCCCAAAACATACAATTTTACAATATCTTTCTAAATGATTTTGTACAGCTTAAAAAAAACAATAATTTAAATTATTGAAGTGTCCTCGTGCGTTTAATGGTTACCAAGGAGATGACAAAAACTGGAAATTTAAATTTCCATGTTATTCTTATATCTTATTTAGCATAAGTAAACTGATATAGTATGCTTGTGTATGGGTCCATTTATATAAAATTTGAAATTTGGAAAATTTATTTATTTCATACTTAAGCTATTATCATTATCGTATCACTAAAAATACACTTTATCACCCTTTCTGTGGCAACAAACCTAAGTACTCATTAAACCTAATTTGATTTAAATAGGGAATAAATGTGACATTTTTTATTGAGGAAATATATTTTTTTTATTCAATCTGACGAATGGAAATTTACTTAGTCTGCAGGTTTGCTGCAACAAGGGTATTGTAACTAATTAGTGTATTACATAGGGTTTCCTTGTACAATCCCCAAAAATATTTAGATGGACACAAATAAGTCCTTAACATAATATATGTTGATTTTTGTCAATCAATGCCTTTCAAACTCTCCTTTCACTGCTATACTTCAAAATATACATGAACCATTCAGTAAGTCAAGATTAGGCGTATAACGCTGGAAGCACTTTCAGAAACCTCAGGAAAAACCTTGTACCCAATATATACACAACAACTTTTTCTGTACAACTTAATATCCTGGTAAATAAAAAAAAATTTACAAAGTAAATAAAGTAAGTAAATTCAAAAGTATTTACATTGTTTCAAAATTATGGATTTTCATTTTTTTACAGTGTTATGATGTTATTCTGTGTTATAGGCTAGCAAGGAGTCAGTTCTTCGTCAGATTGGTGAGGCGGAGTGTGTACACTTAGCAACCCACGTCTCCTGGAAACTATCGGCCATCGTACTGTCTCCCGGAGAAGTGGTAGACTCCCAGCATTCCAAGACTCGACCCTTCTTCCAAGGTCAAGGAGAGCACACTGCTGTTGAAGAAGACTGTTCAGAAGTGAGTGGTTAAAGATAAACAATATTTACTCGAAACAATTTGAACTACACTAACTACACTACTTAGTCAACGTGAAATTAAATGTGTTATCCAACCCTTCCAATGAACTTATTTCCCCAAATTACCAAAAAGAAAATGAACAAAATAACAACACTTTGGGTAAAATAAAATTATGTTATCAATGAAACTAACAACTTTAACCCCCACACCACTAAACAGTTACTAAAAAGATATATTCCTTTAGTCAGCATATAGATGATATACATATGATCACATACGCATAATCTCTACCAACCTGTTTTGGTATAGCTTGTCAATTCAATGTTTTGATTGCCTGTTACATTACATCAGAAATGTCAGGCATTTTATTTATTTATTTCTACATTTGTTTAAATCAAAATATTCAGTTTTGTTTGTTTCCAAAGCCTGATTTTTTCATTTTTTTAACCACAACATACAGACAGATTTCTGATTGTGACCACAAATCTACCACTGAGTGTCACTACTGTAAAATAACTCTAATTATTTGTGTTCTGAATCATGTTAGAATTAATATTGATTGGATGCATTATCTAGTAAATTGGACTTTTTCGATTTTACATAAAAAAAGTAAAAGTTGAAAGTATTAAGATCTTAGTTTTACTATCCTATGAATACCTAACATTTACAAATAATTCCAAAAAAATAATATCCACAACTTGAATCAAATGTTTTTAAACCTTGTAGACCTACTATGATGTTTCACAAATTACTTTTCATCTTCCACAATTTGCACACCTGGCTTCCTCATGACATCAACAAATAACGTTTTTGTTTCACAGGCATCATCGACTCTGGAGATGCCCTCATTATCAGAGTTCCTACTTACGGCATCAGAGTTGCTGACCCTGAGACTCAGCGCTAGACTGGTAGTGGTGAGCTGGTCTCACTCGTGCGATGGCTGGGCCACGGCTGATGGAGTGGTTGGTCTGTCTCGAGCATTACTAGCGTCAGGTGCTCAGTGTGTGCTCGTCTCCCTGTGGCCCGTACCTGACACAGCTGCTAAGATACTGCTGCGAGCATTCTACTCAGCTCTGCTTCAGGTCAGTATATCATAGAAGATTTCAACTTTCAACCCTGTAAAAACATATTCCAGAGGAAAATATTTTCAAATGCATGTTAATAAAGTTTATTTCGATGTTTATTTTCCGTTATGTGTTAAGTGTTATTTTCCGACCATATCTACACCACCTAATCAGCAGAGAGTATACAGTATAGTAGGGTCAATTACAATTATTCCAACATTTGTACCGTTAATAATCCTTACAGGCACACTTGGCAGAGTTTGCAGGCAATTGGGTGGATTTAACATTATAATGACAAATCTCCCCATTTTGCTTTAAATAGAGCACAGTAATCAGTCACTGCCATCCAGTTTTAGAAGTTATATAGTTATGTACTGGGGAATGTGAGGATATCACATTTACTGATATTTAATAAGGTAAATTAACAATCACATGTTTGTTATCGCTCAAACTTGTTTTGGTATGGATTTGGTAAAGAACCTTGTAACCTGTTGGGGTGATTACTCACAAAATGTTTTTTTTTATTTTAACATTTCTAAGATTGTTCTTAAATAGAAACTGTAATTTATTTTTTCTTGCAGTATTATATCTCAGACTTTTTATAGAAGTAGACTCCCATCCCTATGTAAAAGGTCGTAGTTGAATTAAGCCACTGACAGTGTGCTGATGCCATTCACTGACTTCTGTTGAATACAGAAACCTTTTAGCCACACCATATCGAAAGGATACCTTATTGTAAACTGTAGCATCTTTAATTTCAGATTAAATATTACAGTACCTACCAAAAATCAGTACGCTAATTGAAACTAGACATGAAGCAGATTTAATTGGCAAGATATGATTTGTTATAGGGATCACGTGTGAGTCGAGCGTTGGGTGAGGCAATGCAGACTGTTCAACACACCAAACACTTTGCCCATCCTGCCAACTGGGCTGGCTTCCTGTTGGTTGGGTCCGACGTGAGGTTGTCCAACAAAGTAGCCCTCATGGGACAAGCTCTCAGTGAACTTCTGAAAACTCCCGACCGCTGCAGAGATGCTCTGAGAGTCACTTTACACCTGGTTAGTTTAGCATTTAACTGTTTTATTGGAAAATGACTGAATACCTTTATCAATGGACCCATTTTATGTTTATACTTGTAAAGTTATAATATGGGTCTTAAAAACTTGCTTAAACATTCAAATGATTTTGCCTTTTAAGAAGATATTTGTTCTCCCTCATAAATAGCTTCAAACTCTAATTTAAGTATTTTATTTGCTAGTCCATGATTTTTATGTATGCAGAATCAAAGTTGCTGCTTGGATCAGACCATTCTTTTTCCTAGGAACTGTAAATCCGGCCAATTTTTCTCTAGACAGACATTTTACAGTGCCTTAATCAATCTCAACAAAGATAACTTCTGTGTTCTTTAAGATTCTCTCCAAAGTTGTACTATCTTTATTTGCTGTATTAAATCAAAGTATTTGGCAAATAGGTAGCATTTTAACTGTAATAATATGTTACAGGTTGAAAAGTCATTGCAAAGAATACACAGAGGTCAAAAGAATGCCATGTATACCACCCAGAAGAGCATAGAAAATAAGGTAAGGTGTATTGCTAAACAACTCAATAGGATTTTCTTAAACGTGCGTAACAAATAGTATTTTTAGGCTTATTACACATATGCAAGACAGATTTTACTCATGGGTTACATTTTTCGAGTTATGTTAACATGATTTGTACAAATGAGGTTTGTGAAGTAAAGTGATGAATGACATACAGGGTTCTCATACTCAGGGGTGATATTAATGAATTTCACTAAAATTAAGATGAGCTTATCCTATTTCAGGATCATCCTTTAGATATTCACATGTGTGGACATCAAACCTAGTCAAAAGAAACTAATTAAGCCAATTAAAATAAATATTAGATATTGTTGAGTATATCATGGTTTTTTTGCCAGTATTTTATAAATACTTACATATGACTCGAATTTCAGGTCGGACATGTGAATGGCTGGAAGGAGCTTCTGCAGTCTGTAGGGTTCAGGTTTGAGCCGGCAGCCAACGGAATACCTTCCTCCGTCTTCTTCCCCCAGAGTGACCCGGAGGAGCGACTGACTCAATGTAGTGCTAGCCTTCAGGCTCTCTTAGGTAGGGGTGTTGGCAGTAGGAAAAGTATAAGAAACTGATTTCAAGCAAATATTCTTGGTAAACAATATACCTTTAAATTAATTTAGTAGTGCTTCGTTACTGCTCTGAAGATGGCCATCAGCAACCCGGCTAAAACGTCAGTTCATCCAAGCAAGCTACTTGTAATATCTCACCACTTTACCCCAAAGACTAAAATGTTGTAGTCTCCTAAATTAGTGTTTAAAACCAAATAGGATAAATCAAACAAATAATCATTGATTTTAGGAACTCTTTAGATACAAGTCATACAGTTACCAGTAAACATTAGAGGTGGAATCAGAGAGATAATAAACTTGTAACAAGGGTTCATCACATACAAAATATAGCTTTCCTCTTATTATTTTCTACATACTGTATAGTGTGGTGTTTAGCCTTTTTGAAGAGCGATGTAACAAATCTAAACTGATTTTGGTTTCTTAGATGCTTAACAAATTCCCAATGTATATCAAAAACCAACATTTTTTCAGGTTTAACAAGTACAACGTTAGCTGCTTTGTCGAAGCTGATGAGCAATATAGAAGTAGCAGACGACATTATTGCTGTTATCCGCGTTGTCATTGGTCAATTCACAATGAAGAATGTGGAAACGGAGAGCATTGAGATCCCTATAAGTGTAAAACTGTGGAGGGTTCCAGGAGTTCATGAGTTGCTGGCTTCATTAGGTAAGGATTATATATAACAAATCAATATACAGATTATTATTCTTTAAAAATATATGTATCAGTTAACAGAGAATTATTATATCTAAAGTGTATTCTTTATAATATTATAATTTATAATATTTGTAATACTATAAAAATATTTTTGCTGTTAAACCATCTTCATACAATCTATTTACAACAGTTGCACAAAAAATAGTAATAATCACAATTGTAAATTGTTCCTTTGCCAGTTCTACAAAACATCAGAGCTCCTGTCAAAAGCTGTTATTTTATCTGGCGATTGCAGTATAATATTGTCCATAATATTGAAATTTGACATGACTAGTCGAGGCTCGCAGTTTGCATGTGACACGCTATGGGCCCAAGAGATAATAGCCCCACCTCCCCCCTTACATGCGGGGAATTTTCATCTTCCTTGCACCCCCAACAAACCTGTTGTGCCTCTGGGCCCGGACCCACCTCGGCCCATTAAAGCGGAAATTAAAGCGGCCCTGAACTAAGCAACACTACGTGTACCAAGAAATTGTTAGAAAGTTATTAATGTTTTAATCCAATTGTATTTACCTCTATGTAGGATTTGATCTGATGGAGGTTGGGCAGGATGAAGTGACTTTGAGGACGGGCAAACAAGCAAACAGACGCAGCATTCAGTTTGTTCTACAAGCTCTACTTGCACTGTTCGGTAGGTCTAAGTTTATGTTTGTATTTATTCAATTTCAATTATGAATATCATGTGATGTAGGTGATGAATGCTCACATTCATCCTTACACAAACCAGATTTGATCAGTGTACATTTCTTATTCACTGTTTATATTTTTTTACACCAATTTATCATATGTAAGTTTATCAGATCTGCATAATGAATCGTTACGTACTCAACTTTAACATTTTCCCATAAAAATCTTAAAACCTATTCAACACAAGAATGAATAACTTTAATAAATGTTCGAGTTGGATTATCAGTTGTCAAATGTGTGTATACAGATACACAAGAAGCACCAAAGAGTTTGAGCTTGGCATCATCGAGCTCAATGGAGAGTCTTGCGTCCTTGGATGAAGAGGCCGAGACAGGTACCCTCCCCCCACCACCTCTACCTCGAGGACCTCTCGTACCAGGGCTGAGGGCGTCGGGGACCCCAGGGGCATTCACCAGCTATGTACGGAGGAGAGGTGAACCTGACGGCCGCACAGCCTGCGCTGCAGAGACTAACACTGTCATTAACAAGGTATGGGAAAGTTGGTTTTGAATCAGTCTACATGTGTTCCTTGAGGTACACTTAAGAAAGTCTAGTTACATTTTTTAAGATTTCTGTTATTAAAATTTTATAAAACTGTTTAAAATTTTAACCTCTACACATTTATAATTTCTACTGTATATCTATTCAGTTCAGTTATCCATTGCGGTCCTGTTTGAAGGATGACAGCTAATAGAATCCACTGTGCAATGTACTTGAAGTTTTTGACAACCCAGCATATAGAAGATGAAACACATACAATCCGACTAATTAATCAACAATACACTATTCGTTTGGTCTTGTAATAAAAATTCTTGAAAACAATAAAGTTATAACACTTTTTTAAATATTAATAATGCTATCAAAACATGGCTTATAACTTATATAAGTAAACAAATCCTACGGTTACACAGGAACAAATCCTTGCAACCCTGTGAGGATGGTCTGTTTACTATTTGGTAACAGAGTATGTTGTTGTACAGGTTGTAAGCAGACCGGGAGGAGGAGGCGAGAGTGACGCAGCTTTCACACCTTCTCCACCCGTCGGCATCGCAGGAGACCAGAGTCTTACACTGACTTTGGCCCATCAGACCAGGATCAGGAGTCTGTACAGTAGTGTGCAGGTCAGTCTAACAGATTTTCATAATTCTGGATTTTTTAAAATCTCAATAGTTCAAACTTAGAGCTGATTAATATACTCAGAGTTATTGTGAAATTCATAAAATTAATTGTTAATTCTGAAAGTTATTTGTTTACTTCTTTTATAGATATCATTTTTTTTCTCCTTATACAATAATTGTTTTCTTGTTACACTTGTATCTCGTTACTGGGCTGAAAGCAAAACTTGTTACATTATTTATATACTAGGCTAATTATAGTTAATGATCAATTAGTGAAGCCAACTTTATTGCATTTGTTTGTATCTTTTGAATGGTTTGTCCTCTAACGTACACAATTGTCTGTACAGGATGTTTCCCCTGTGGTCAGTGACGGCAACACTCAGGGTCATCAACATCAGCGCAGGCCTGACTCCTCCAGCTCAGCCAGTTCCGCCACAGACTGGGAAGGTATGGATCAATATACTTGCACACCACTTCTTGTGAAAGCAAACTTGTAAAATGTTGTATTAGCTGATACAATTATAAATCATCAAAAAAGCCGCTAGCAAATTAACGTTATTGATTTTAGCCTGTGTTACTTACCAGTGATGCCACATGAGCAGTACCAATCTATATCTCTAAACATGTTCCCAACATGGAGTTTCACTCCTATGTATCTCAGGTCATGTATCAGTGATAAGTGAATGTCTTAGTATGGGTTACTTTAAAATCATACTTGGATATCTAGATCTTGTGAAATACAGAATGTGTTAAATTAGGATGATCCACAAAAATATCATTGACATTGGCTTTAAACGATGCCTGAACAGTGTAGTACATCACGTACAGTAGACTCCCTCTTATCCGGACCCCTCGGGACTGAGGCCAGTCCGGATGACGGGTTTTCCGGTTAAACCGACGTCCCCAAAAACTCGTTAAAAAGGACGGTTTACTGTGATATTCGACTTAAATTTAGGAGAGCATTGTATTTAAACACGTGATAACTGGTCTCAAATCTTTCCCACGAGAACAGTCGTTTCAGTACCGCCCACTTCATGCCGATCTAGTCCGGTTAAAGCAATATGCTGATAAAAATTGTCCGGTTAAAGAGATGTCATTTCCGCCGAGTTTAGTCCGGTTAAACCGATGTCCGGTTAAAAGGTGTCCGGATAAGTGGGAGTCTACTGTATATGTTGATCTGGATCTAGTTGCCTACTAAAATGAAATTTTTTACAAACTACCATAAGAAATACAATAAAAAGGAGTTTAGTGATTTTAAAATACATAACAGCTCTTTAAATTGGTTGGATATTTATGACTCTTTCTTAGCATGTGTTTACTATGATGTGGCCAAACTACATTGGCTAAACGCTTATGCTTCCCAGAAAATGCAGAAACTAAAACCAGTCAAGTTACAGAACACTTCCATTGAAGTGTTCTCAGAGATACAATTCTGCTCTCTGCTATTCCCAATAGCACTTCCAAACTTATAAATTAAAACTATCCTTATATAGTTTAGAAACATTTTAAATTACCTAGTTTCTGGTTGTGACTTTATGGATGTGTTTCAACAACATCTTACCATCTCTGATGACTGATAACTCAAATTACTTTGACAGGTAACGGACACGCGACGGTGCTGAGGAGAGCTGCTGCAGTGCCTCATCCCCTGCCTCCACTACCTCCGCCGTTGGGCCGCAAGCCTCCGCCTCCACCAGGTCTCTATGAAGAGCCGAGTCACAGCTCCGACTCAGACTTCGGCCACCAGCCAAGTCGCAGCGCTCTGGACAGACTCAGTGTGCGTAGCGGACTACTCAATCTGTCTGGAGCTGGCTCTCGTAAACCCTTGCTCTCTCTCACCCCTGCTGAAGAAGCAGGTTTATTCTCCGAGGACCAAGTCACATCACCCAGAATGTTATATTTTGCCCCTCAACTTGGAGAAGTACAAGGAACTGAGAGGGAAGACCCAGGTCAACCAGGCCCCTCGCAAGCTGGCATTCAGGTATGTTCAGACTGTAGAGTGAAATTTGTAAACAAACAGAAGTCACAGAATTCCATAATGTTACAGACTTTTAAAATTAGTTTTTTAGGAAAGAGAACTTGCCTTTGCAAATTGAGATTTTAGTTCTGTTATATGTGTTAGAATTGACTGTACACTAACTGGACTGCCAGCTATACAGAACAATATATGAACAGAACAATGAAGACTAAGTGTTTACTGTTTACATCTTCGTCTGGCTAGATGCAGCAATACCTAGTTCTAAATCATTGAGGGTATTTCGTGCTATTTAGGGTAAAAATATAAAAAAATTTCCACTTTTACGTACAAATAAAAAATTTTGATCAACCTTTAGCACTTTAAATGTTGAAATTGGCTCAATGCTTATGGAGGATAGGTATCAACAAAAAGTAATTCACTACAGGTGTTGAAGAAGAGGTACTAACACTCAATAGTACTTGCCTCTTGCCTACTCCCTTGTAGTAGCTTTGGCTGCCTTGTTTAACAGACAATGCAACAGACTAATGCATTTAGGCTTTATATCCATGTAGTAGTATCAAATCAATGGTTTTTGCATGATGATTAAAATAGATGTGTTTATTAGTAAAAAAAAAATTAAAACACAGTCTTCATCAGCTTTTACTAATGAAATACTACGAATATAGGACCAGATCCTAGCAACTCAACTGAGAAGACTCAACAGAGAGGCGACACCAACAATATCCGAGGTTTACCACGAACGCAACATCGGACTAGGACTTGCCCCTCCACTCTCCAAACTGTTAGACGGGGAGCATGATAATCTGCTTAGTGAAGTCTCTGAAAACAAGGTGAATAGCTATATTACATATTCTACTGGATCAATCCTTGTTTCTTTCTTAGTTAATCATGTTACTTTATGTACTTTGGTTTCAATTTTAAGAGTCTTCCTTAGTGGATGCCATGTTGGATTTCTTCCCCATAAGAACAATGTTAACTTTGGGTCCAAATATCTCATCAGCAAATTGTCATATAATTATGGATAAGGAGTTAAATTTAAGGAATTGCGGTCCTCTAGAGATTGACGTTTTTTATTTCACAATTTTTAATTTTTATAATGAATAATTGATTATTAATTAGCTTAAAATTAAGCTAATTATGGAAAGGAAATGAAAATGGATTTTCGAAATTCAAAAACCTCAGTCACGAGTCTATTATGTTAAAAATACAAATTATAAATTTCAAAGCTATATCTTAACAAATAACGCCGTTACGTGTCCACAAATGATGTAATGTTTAACATTGTTCTTATGGGGAAGAAATCCAACATGGCTTCCACTAAGGAAGACTCTTAAGTGCGGATTTTTTATTTTCATTTTAATCCAATAGATATCATCAATTATTTAACTATTTTCTTTAAATATGTATGAGAATGTATATTTTTTAAATACATTGCTCTATTCTATATTAATGCTCAAGTTGTAATTGATCTTTGGCATTCAATAATTTACATAACATCAGCTGATATGTAAGAAATGATTTGAAATTTGTAACCAGCACTGAGCACTCTTGGATACGAAAGATTTCGAAACTATTTCAACTCCTGAATAACCTTTTCATTTTTTATAGATTTATTAGATTTGTTTTGCCAGTCCCTAAACAAATTTCAAGAAAGTGTTTTGCAATAAGTCAATAACACAATCAATGTACAGATAGTTCTTGCCTAGATTAACTTTTGTAGCAAATATTGTTGTGGAATAAGAATCATAATCACTAATTATTTATTTATTCACACAAACACTTAAAATAATACATGGCTCAATATTATTATACTAGACTGTAATCATTCGACCTAATGGTAGACACTCTCCCAACTTCTTTACTTATATAAATTATTTAATAATTATTCAAAAATGTATCATAGAGCAAAAAGGTGTAGGTTTTAAGGAGGATAGTAAGCTAACCTGAATGGGAAAAGTTCACTCTGGCACAAGAAACACAAAAATCCACACCAATTAAAGGCAAATCCAATTAAAACCCCTCTGTAGAAAACGCTGTCAGTGACAGTGTAGTTGAAATTTTGTGTATAGTGTTGGGTTTCTTATACCTGTGGACTCTTTTCCATTAAGGTGAGCCCATTCTCTCAAAACTCCTTGAAAAATATATTTGAGGCTAGGTATTCTTGGTAAATGGCTGTAGGCTAGAATAAGTTTGATTTTGTTTTGGGTAGGTAAGACTCGTAAGAGCGGGGTTACCTGTACAGTGGGTGAGTCTTTTCAATATGTCTGTTTATTTATTAGTTACCTACTGATAAGACCTGCCCACTGTGCAAATTAAGCCTGCTCTTCCTATCCAAATCAAAATCAAACCTGAATACTATATTTGTTACGCAATTTAATAAAACAAAATTTCAGGAGAAGAGCAAACCATGGCTGTCGACGGCAGCTCTGCAGAGATTCTACTCTGACAGTGGGGAGGTTGACACCAAGCAGAGGAGTTGTTCTCCTTGTAGTGAGCTAAGCAGACGAGACGAGGGGGACGGTCGCTCCATCGCTGACTCTCAGTGTAGCGCTGGGAGCTACAAACGAGGATCCACCCTACGACCTCCACGCACCTACGATCAGGAGTCTAGAGTCCTGGGGTTCATAGAGGACTCAGGGGAGGAACCTGCTCAGCCTGTACCTAGAGTGAGAGCTCTACATCCTCCTCCTCCACCCATCCCTACCTCTCGCACCACCTCCAAGCTCCATCCCCCTACGGAGTGTTAGTGATCCTCGAGTTTAGGTCTATGAAGATGTTTAGTGCAAATTGTGATTATGGACTCATAAGTCAGGTTTCTCCAAGCTCCATCCCCCTACGGAGTGTTAGTGATCCTCAACTTTAGGTCAATGAAGATGTTTAGTGCAAATTGTGATTATGGACTCATAAGTCAGGTTTCTCCAAGCTCCATCCCCCTACGGAGTGTTAGTGATCCTCAACTTTAGGTCAATGAAGATGTTTAGTGCAAATTGTGATTATGGACTCATAAGTCAGGTTTCTCCAAGCTCCATCAACCATATAGTGTTAATAACTACACTTCAGGCCAATGAAGATGTTTAGTGCAAATTGTGAAGTTTTGGGTGTTCTAATAAAAGCCCAATCTGGTTGGCAATAATTTATTTTTCATACATGTGATGTATATACACAAAAAATCATCACTAAATTAAACAAATTGCATACCTAAACGCCTCGTCTGAAAATGTATAAACTATTTGTTACTGTAAAAATGTACAAATCACCACTACATTATTTTGGTCAAAATAATAAATTAGTAATTGATGGTTCTATTAAAAATGCCTCATCAGAATTATAGTAGAAGTTCATTAAATTTACAAAATCATCCAATGTTAAGGACCCTAATACTCACTGAAGGTAAAATATTATACTTTTAACCTTCAATTATTGTTTATTATGTGCAGTTTTATTGATTATCGCAGCTTTTTTAACTACAATATAATTTTAATTTTGTTGATTTGAATTTATGGTTAAAGTGGGAGCCCTACCTAATGGAGACTTGTAAGGTGGTCTTAAGACATACAAGTGTGTTTATGTGTAATATTTTTGTACCTAGTGCTCTATCCTTGCACAAAATCAAAGATTTAGTGTAGTAGAGTATTCCATAGTTTATTATAGTAAAAATTGTATATTTTATACTACGAAAGGATGTGAAAGGACAAATATATATAAATGTATTCGTGCTATATTGTGTATACATATACTTTCATTACATCAAAATAGTGTTATAAACCCTTAATGTTTTGATATTATCGAAGGAGCATTATCTTTCATATTGTATAGTAACACAATCAGGCTCGATATAGCTTGGTTATATATATATTTACATATATGCTTGTTATATAGTATAAATATCTATATAATTTGGATTTTTGTGTAGTAGTTGTAAATATCTTTATTTATCATGTATACCATTTTTGGTTGGACTTGTAAATAGCCCCTTACCAATCCACAGGAAGTCTGAGTGAACCAATGCAGTATTACATAACCATTTATGTGATTGTACAATATGGTAAAAATTACAAAATCTATGAATATTTAAGTGTATACGTAGGAAAATTAAATATCATTGTATATTTACATCTGTAAAAATAAACTTCAGTACAAAACCTTTAGTGTTAAAAGTTTATTCCTTGTGTTGTGTATTTAACTCAATCTCTTTTTTTACTCTATGAAAGTATGTAAAAATATTTGTATTTGATATAATTGTTCAAAATTGAAATAATTGAGTAGTATTGTTTCAAGTATGTGTAAGAGTGGAAATTGTTCAACAGTTTTTTGTCCTAGAACACTAGGGTCTAGCCTGTAATTGTTTTTCATACAACTTCAGGCTAGACATAGGGCTTGTGATTATTACCATAGACAAAAATAATTAAATATAGACCGTCAGCCGTGCTGCGGTTACCATAGGTTCTGGCGCACACCACTGAGAGCGCCATGTAGTTGCGGCATACATGCTACGTAACTACACGGCACTCCCAGCGGTGTGTGCCACAACCTATGGTAACCGCAGCACAGCTGACAGTCTATATTGAATTATATTTGTCTATGTTATTAAGTAGATAAAATCCATTGGTGATTTGGCAGGATTTTAACCCAGGATCCCCGGGACCGAAGTCCCGCACTTAATCACTAGACCAGCCCACTCCCCTTTTTCAATAGTAAGGATGATTAAAATGTAGAGAATAACAGAATGATATATAAGCATATGAAGTATATATATTCATAAAATTTTCTTTTAGCTAGGTGCTAATTTGAAACAGTAGTTTGGTAGTCTTGAACACATGCCATTGGGCTGATGAAAAGTGTCCCAGTGATAACCTTAAAAAAACTACATTACTCTCTGCATCCTCACACTGTTGCTCACAGGTAAAGAAGCTCATACCACATCCAAACTCTACTCAATATTATTTAAACTATTTGGATTAAATAGGCAGTGCTGAATATGGAGCTGAATTTGAGCAGAATCGAAAACATGATTAGACATTATTCCCAATACAGTAGACCCCTTCTTCTTAACCGACTCTATCGTAATACAATACAGAACTTTTTGTCAAAATTAAAGATTCAAGCAACCATTTTGCTACGAGACAGGATGGTTATTCATATTCTCTCACTGGCTCGAGTCAAAGGAACTATCTTGACCTTGGAGTCGTTAACTCCCTTCCCCTGCCATCCTTATAAGTTGTGTTGTTTGTTTACTCTAGTGATAAGGTAATTCTAGATTGTATTACAAAAATAGCAGCTGTTATTAGAAATATACATTTTTTTGGATAAATACAAAATAACTTATTCTTAGTCACATCCAGTGGAGATTCCCATCGCCGGTCTGGGAGCGGAAATGCCGAGATTTATAGAAATACTGTTAAACCGGACTGCTCTCATGGCAAGGTCGGTTAAAACAAACTGTAATATTTTACGATCCAGGGCGGATAATCCGATTATCGGTTAATGTGAGGTCGGTTAAGAGGGAGTTTATCGGTTAAGTTTATTAAGTCACATTTTGCTAGTACCTGATTTTTGTATTTAAAATGCACGCTAAATGAATCAATCCCTCTACATTACTCACAATCACGCCAAGACAAATATACAATTCATAGAAGTGTTAGGTGGAATATCACTAATACAAATATAAATTTACTATTAAATTAGTACCGGTAGTCATCTGGATAGCCCTAAAAAAACACAAATTGAACATATAATTGAAATGGATTAGGATTTAAATATCAAAATAAACCTTTTTGAAGCATCCAATTTAATTCTTTAAAATCTTTGAACAGTTACAATTTGTATTAGTTCAATAATAGGGTTACAAAACTCTCCTGCAAACATCAAAGTCCTCGTCTTCTCCGTGGGCGCAATCATCTTGATCGTCACACATCCATGCACGTGGGATGCAGCGATCCTTCCCATACGACTGGAAGCACTGTAAACATTACAAAAGATAAATCTCTGTGTAAAAAAAAATATAAACAGTAAATAAACTTGATAATTGTATTGGTAAAAAAGGGTTTCTGTTATTTTTAAGGGATCTGGTTAGCTATTCACTTTTAAAATATACAATACCTCACTTAAGCGGGTTTTTACTACGTTGCCTTCCTATTTTATATGTTGACTGTTAATACAGCTTATTAAAATACACCATAATTGTAATATTTATGTTATTTATCAATTTAAAGAAGAATATATATGAGTGAAAATTTAAAAACGTACGTTTTCGGGAATAGCACTTTGCAAATTTTTTTCCCCTTTTTTCAAAACTTTTATTATTTTTTTTATTTCATTAACATTTGAAGTTTCATAAAATGTCCATGGTAACGCAATATCTTTGGTAGTTTTTTTTTTAAAGAGCATCTTTGGTGGAAAAACACAAATACCTGTCACGACCATAACGGACGTTTAAATGAATATTAAAAATAGTTAATATTATTTTTATAACTATGTTTTGCTATAAACTAATTTACTTTTTTGACCATTATACAATAAAAAGGTCACTGAGCTTTTGGTATATTTGGTCTTTCCAGAAAAAAATAAAAAAACTCAAAAAATAGAATAAAAGCCAATAATTAAAATCTTTTTAAGTTTGTATAACTCCGAAAAAACTTACCTGAGACCCGAAAAATCGTTATGTTTGTATAGAGGTGTGCTTCTTTTGTGTATAAAACATTGAAATATGACGATATTTTAATTTTTGAAATTTTTATGATAGAAATCATAAACGTGATGGTCAGGGACAAGCGGTACGGTTGTGAATTGTCTGGAATAATCTAAATCTTTCTAAACAATCCTTCAATTATACTGTTAGTAATAAAAAAACTATGTGTTTCAATTGAACTAAACTGTTCAATTTACAATTATATTAAAGTTATTGTCACGACCAAACACACTATAATCCATAAGGCTGGATTGGTCGTGAAAAAACCCGCGATGGTCGTGAAACTTTGGTCGTGAAATTACGTGTTATTTGGCTCTGTTCTGGCGGTAGCCCTGCACCTCATGTTCGAGGATACAAAGTGGACTTCTAGGTTAATCTAGCAATTGAAATATCTTATAAACAAAAATTAACACCATGTCTACTTCATCGAATGACTACGTACGGTCATGGACACACCAAAATTACAAAAAACACAATCTTTCCTTTATTAATCTTGTAATTCCTCCTTTCAACTCGAAACGACCGGCACTACAATCCTGACGTACACCCCGAACTAGTCTCTAAAACCAACTGACTCCATCGACGCCAGGCTTGCCACTGTCGTGCTCCAAAGTTGAAAATTTTTCCCAAATGGTCGTGACGCCAAATCGAGGGACTGACTTATTTTGTCATGGTAGTCAGTCTGCAATGACAATAAAATTATAATATGCTCCTTTTTTGTAAGTTTAATAACCATTGATGACATAAAAATATGGATTTATATATTTCGGCATGAATAATTAGTCTAAAAACAGCGTGAAAGTTGGAAAATGTACCCTAGGGACACGTCATGGTCGTGAATTTCGAGACTTTAAAAATACGAAAAAAATACCTAGAACCTATTTAAAACCAAATAAATGTGTGTAACATGTTGCCCCCGTCCCAAAAAATATTAAAACACATAATAATAAACTACAAATCCAGTATCTACGAAGTAAAAGGCCAGGGACATGAAAACGTACGTTTTTAAATTTTCACTCATATATATATATCGCCCACGGAGAAGACGAGGACTTTGATGTTTGCAGGAGAGTTTTGTAACCCCATGTTTAGTATTAACCAGCGCTATTATCATTTAACAGAGATATTATCCTATATATATATAACCAGCACTATTATCATTTAACAGATATATATATATAGGATAATATCTCTAACTAACTAAACATGCAACACAATTCGGGGTTGTGCTTTGCTGATGCAGAGGTATACAGGGTGTTTTTTTTTAACTTATCTATTGACAAGCAATCTATTGACATAGAGGCCACAAATGTTGTGATTTCAAGGTTAAGTTTCCATTCACCCCCTTTCTCAACCCTTCTTCTAACTTAACAATTTTAATTGCAAGGTACACCTTCGGACATATTAAATGAGAGGGCATGAAAAAAGAAAAAAAATGGCACAACCTAGAGGTCTCTACGTCAATCCTACAAAAGTTATGGCAGTTCAAAATTTTAATTCCCCCCCTCCTTTTTTTGGAAAAAAACATGTTATTTTAAACGGCTATAACTCAAAAACGGTAAGAGCTAGCAAAGTTTTGAAAGAATTTCCATTGTCAGGAATCAAATTTTCTACAAAACACTGTTAGCCGTTTTCCGAAAACCGAACTCCTTCACCTTCAAAAAACTACCTAGCCTACTTCTAAAAATGTTTAAATTTGTTTTTAATTGAACGAGCATTTTTTAAAGGTGTCACTATCTGGCATGCTTGTTCAATAAAAAACTCATAAAAATCCGAGAAATTTTTCAACTTTTAGAAGTAGGGCGTTTTTTGAAGGTGAAGGAGTACGATTTTGGAAAACGCCTAACAGCGTTTTGTAGTTTTGTTTTCTTAGTTCATGTGTACACCACAACGAGATTTATAAACAGAACGGCCCCAATTGTAGCTCTGTAGCTATTTTTATTTTTTTACCATTATTTTTATGTTTTCTTTTCCAACCAATAAATAGAATAAATCAAATTTCTAATTCAACAGATGAGCTAGGTACAATAAATTGAAAGTTAATACAATTATTTCAACATGCGCAGGAACATATATTTCACTAGACTAAAGTCTGGAAAATATTATACCTGTAGACATCTATACTACCTAACAATCATGAATGAAAGTCAGTTAACCTTAACATACCTGGAACTCTTTGTAATCGTCACAGTCATATTCTGAAGCACAGTTCCACTCATCAGATCCATCAGCACAATCGTCTTCTCCATCACAGACAAACTTTTGGGCAACACAGCCACGGTTGTTGCGACAGCGGAAGTACGAGGGGCGACAGGAGCCTGATGAGCCACCCTGGTAATGTACACCCCCAGGCTTGTTGTAGTAGTGTCTGCAATTCCTTGGATCTTCGTCCCACCTGACAGATTATGATATAGTTGCCTACATTCAAGAATGGGGGCCGGTGCAAGGTGTTTTTCCCAAACATGCGAGAGCCATTCCTCAATATATAACCCACCCCTCTATATATAACTCCTTATTCAAGTTAATCCACTATATTAATTTAATACATTTATTTAGATACAATAAAAAATATACACCGTGTCCCAAAAATAATGGATCAAATCTAGAGCTTAATATACGTGTTATTGAGGGTCGTAGGAAAGTCAAGTATGGCTTGTTTTAAAGGTGACATCTTTAAGTTTTTTTTTAGTATGATTCAACAAAAATCAGCTGTCCATTGTTGTGAGCTTGCTTGAATTTTCAAAACATAAACAAACCACACAGTTGCATTATGAATGTGCAGTTAAAAGCACAGCGTCTTGAGTGGTTCATTGAGACTAAATCAGTGGTTAAAGTAAAAAGAGGATTTCGCACTGTATACAACGTAAATCCACCATCCAGAAACAGTATGGAACGATGGTACAGGCAGTTTAAGGATTCTGGAAACATCGGCCAGACGGATGACACCTTCCCAGACAGTTGGATTGGTCGCGGCGGTCCCATACGGTGGCCTCCTAGATCTCCAGACATTAAGCCTTGTGATTTTTTTGTATGGGGATCTGTGAAAGATCAAGTGTATAACTTGCCGATCTCAAACTTAGATGAACTTAAAGCAAAGATAAGGGAAGCCTTTGGAAACATATCCAATGAAATGCGACACAATGTGTGGTCTGAGGTTGAACACCGCCTTGACTTTCTCCGAGCGAACAACGGAGAACATGTAGAGGTTAGGCGGTGAAATCATGTTGGGAAAAACTTAGAATGTTAAGAAATAAAATGTATATAAAGTGTTCATGTCAGTTTACTTTTGATCCATTCTTTTTGGGACACCCGGTATTATGAACATAGAGATTATAAGAAAAATAAAATATAAAAATATATATCCATAAAGAGGTGAAAAAGTCCCAGGAAGCTTAGGTTGATATGCCCACTAAATTTAAGGTCTTTGTTAGTAAAATACAATGCAGCAAACGCAAACTCAAACAGACATTCGAGTAAAAAATTGTAGCCTTCAAAGATTACTTGAATTTGCAGTTTAGAGTCTATGAATGGATGCCATTTTTTACTCGGTAGTTCTTTTGAGCTAAACTTTGTGGCATTGTATTTTTCTAATAAAGAACTTGAATTTGATGGCAAAAATCTCCTGCGATCGCAGTGAAATCATTCCCTCTGTCCTCCACAATCCTCTGTACCAAAATTAGGTTGGGAATGGCTATTGTTCCGTCCCATTCCAATTTTGTAGGATTCATATTTCATGCAGACCTCTAATACAGAAAATGATACTTTGGTGTTGGGGGGGGGGGGGGGGGGCTGAATCCCTCTTTTCTCAACATTGGGAGGAATTGAACATTTTGTGCCTCATATGGAGTCGGTACCCATACTTCCACCGACCATGTCATAAAAAAACAATCAGTCAATTAACTAATAAATAAGTAGACATCTAAAGTTGATGATAATTACCCATCAGTACAGTCTTTACGACCATCACACAAGAAGCTGATTGGAAGACAGACATGTTGCTTTCTGCGGAAACATCGGAACTCAGTTTTCCTGCAGTAACTGTTGCTGTGATAAGCAGTGAGACCACAGTCATGTTCATCATCTCCATCTGTGGATATAAGCAAGTTGAAAAGTTACAAGATAAAAGATGAAAAAAGGTTCAGTTATTTAATTTTTATTTTCATTCGTCCAATGGAGTCAATATTTATTTAGTATATAAACATGAAGTATATCTTTGTTACGATAGTTTTCCTTCAACTATTCAATCTGTTTCCTTGTTTCTGTAGTTTTATTATTCTAAAAATATTGTTAATAAAAATACTAGATAAAATTATTAAAACACATAATATTACATAGCATTTAATTGTCAAGCAGCATTTAATTATCACTTTGACCACATCAATGCTCTCTGTTCTCACTACGTCCTAAGCTTAGAGAATGTCATTGTAACTTACTATGTTGCAGACCATACACAAACTATTTACCATATTTGTATTCTTTCTTGCCTATAATTGCTGGTATTAAGGACAAGGATGCATGTGAACTGTTTTCACTGCTATTTATGAAAGTAGATTCAAGCAATGTCATAAAATCCACATCCCAAAGTGATCCCAAAATGGATATTTCAAATATGAGAATAAATAGTATAGGCCTAAGTGAAACGACACAGTCTATGTAAAGAGTGTAGTTCATTGAACACATTCATCCTGAGCTTAGATAAGATCGTATTTTGTGGCAAATAAATATTGTCGAGTTTATATTATAGCTTTTTGTAACCACTACCTTATTCTAATAATCTTTAGACATTGCACCAATTCTAATTTGGTAATGTTCATCCAAACACTTTAGCTGTATCCATAGGTGGTGCTAGCATAGTTTTGGGATTTAGTATTCAAAATATTACACTGTAAGATGTGATAATGGAAAGCAAAGATTATTATATGTTCAATTGGAATAGAGAATTTTGTTTTTGGGAGTGTAGCAAGTTGTTAAGGTAAAAAAAATAGGGATGAAGCAAAAAAAATATGCATAAGTAATGTACAGTAGTTGTAATAAAGTAGATTCTAAGAATTATTTTTAAAGTTTGTTTAACTCACCAGGACAGTCATGATCTTTGTCACACATCCAGTTGAGAGGAACACACACATCTGAGTTACGGCAAGGAAAACCAGAAAACACATCATCATCATCAGCATAGTATCGCACATGATGGTAACTCCCACCAACTGTTAAACAAAACATGGACATGACTGAGTTACGGCAAGGAAAACCAGAAAACACATCATCATCATCAGCATAGCATCGTACATGATGGTAACTCCCACCAACTGTTAAACAAAACATTGACATGACTGAGTTACGGCAAGGAAAACCAGAAAACACATCATCATCATCAGCATAGCATCGTACATGATGGTAACTCCCACCAACTGTTAAACAAAACATTGACATGACTGAGTTACGGCAAGGAAAACCAGAAAACACATCATCATCATCAGCATAGCATCGCACATGATGGTAACTCCCACCAACTGTTAAACAAAACATGGACATGACTGAGTTACGGCAAGGAAAACCAGAAAACACATCATCATCATCAGCATAGCATCGCACATGATGGTAACTCCCACCAACTGTTAAACAAAACATGGACATGACTGAGTTACGGCAAGGAAAACCAGAAAACACATCATCATCATCAGCATAGCATCGTACATGATGGTAACTCCCACCAACTGTTAAACAAAACATTGACATGACTGAGTTACGGCAAGGAAAACCAGAAAACACATCATCATCATCAGCATAGCATCGTACATGATGGTAACTCCCACCAACTGTTAAACAAAACATTGACATGACTGAGTTACGGCAAGGAAAACCAGAAAACACATCATCATCATCAGCATAGCATCGCACATGATGGTAACTCCCACCAACTGTTAAACAAAACATGGACATGACTGAGTTACGGCAAGGAAAACCAGAAAACACATCATCATCATCAGCATAGCATCGCACATGATGGTAACTCCCACCAACTGTTAAACAAAACATTGACATGACTGAGTTACGGCAAGGAAAACCAGAAAACACATCATCATCATCAGCATAGCATAGTACATGATGGTAACTCCCACCAACTGTTAAACAAAACATTGACATGACTGAGTTACGGCAAGGAAAACCAGAAAACACATCATCATCATCAGCATAGCATCGCACATGATGGTAACTCCTACCAACTGTTAAACATAACATCTACAAATAAATTACTGTATTTGTATAATACAGGTCTTGTCACTGGGTTCAAATAACATAGAATAACATCTACAAGTCTCAGTTACAGCAAGGAAAGAGAACCATCACTAGCATATTATTAATTATAATTAGCATACTGTTTGATGACTGTCAAAATACATTGGCATGTAACATTTATTACATCTCCATCTACATTTTAATTGTTACTCTAAACTTATACAGTATATTCAGCTAACAGAGATTTAGACTGTAATACTTTCTACAGGGAATATATATTTCTATTTTTCCAACGGCTTGAGTAAGTTAATGAAGTTTTGACAAGTGTGGATCTCAAAAATGTCTCCAGTTGATAAATTTGAACATCTTTTTCTCTTCATTCTTTCTTTTAATCAATGATTGCCAGAGATACATGTGAAGTTCCAAACAAATACGAAAGCAGGTGGATTTTTATGCTTACAAAGTATTGTTTCAATTATATTCTCAAATTATTGTTCAACTTTTTCATGCTAAAAATCAGTGATCCTTTGGAAAAGTAGTACTCTATATACTAAATTTGAATATTTATAGAATGTTAACAGTAAAATATCAATTGTAATATGTAGATTGAATACTAACTTTTACTTGGGAAAAGATCAAAGAACAGATCCAAAGTTCTTGTGAAGTTTGACGATGGTACCGGAACACATCCTCCAGAGTAGATTGTTTTGGATGCAATGTCTTGAAAAATCGTTGGCTTGGAGGATTTGATTTGCTTCAATGTGAGTTTCAGAAAGGTGTTTGGAGGAAGGCCTGACAAAAACGCAATAGATGAGTTGGCAGGAACGTCCATCCACTGAAGAGGTCTTGAGGTAGAAGAATCCACAATTTCCAACAGGAGACCTTCCTTGTTGGTCCCATCAACTTCAAGTTTCACTGTAAATGAAACTTCAGCCAGTTTGACTGAACCAGGACAAGATTTCATCATGGCTTCCTCCATTGTGCTCATCTTAGTTTCATCTGAAATAAAGTGGTGTTTTTTCAAACATTTCATATTTAAGTCAATATTTTGTTTAATGCTTTAGTGTCTACTTTCACAACATTTTCATATGGTGCAATTTGTTCTTTACTTTGTCTCATTTTATCTAATAATAATTGTACATTCAATTTATTTTTTAAATAAGGAATCAAAAACTGCTCCAACGTTGAAAAATAGATTATGTATGTACATCATGAGTTTTTGGAAGTGTTTTATTTTAAAATTGAACCTATTGAAAGATTATTTGTGTCCCAACGAAACCTTTCACTCCTTTCATAATCAAAATTGAAAAAGTTAAATGCAGGGTTTCGTAGCTGTCAAATTTGCCTGCTGAATATTGATGTGGCATTGTGAATGTCGAGCAATCATTGTTTTGTTATGGTATAGCACGGGTAGAATTTGGTAGCTAGGGAAACAGCTGTACCTGACCCTTGTGTCAAGAGTTGGTGCTGAAAAACGCAGCCGGATTCGGCAGCTAGGAAACCCTGCCTTAAAATACAGTTCACAGATAAATATTATCTTTCCTTTGACCATATGCTACCTGTAATGCATTTTTTGTTTTGTACACTTTTTAGATGACTTTTTAGCATTAAAATACCTTAAATACTCTTAAAAGATACTTTTCTTCTAATTTTATGTACACATAAAAAAATACCAACAAAGAGAATTCTTGAGTTTTATAAATAAGGGTGTTCTAAGCAGTGGTGTAGTCATAAATTTTCCATTGTGGGAACATTTATCATTGTCTCGGGAAAAAGAAACGTTGGCTATTAAATATATAGGATTTTTGAAAAACTATAGTGGGAACACCATTTCCACATGTTCCCGCTCCATCACACCATTGGTTGTAATTATGAAGCAAAAGGTTATTCTATCCATCTTGATGCTCACATACTGATATATAACTTCTGACATTCTAACACTCTACAGTGCAAATCTAGTTCTTATAGATTGATCAATAATCCACAGTGGCATAGGACGGTGTCTTGGCACCCATGGCATAAGTCTCTAATTATAGTGGGCTGGAATCACCCTCTTGCTACCACTACAACTATACTCTGTACCTGCTAGAAGGGTAGGAGTGGAGAAGTGTAAGGTGTGGGTTTCATGTGAGTCCAAGTGTATGACAGTAGCGGAGTAGATGTAGTTGGGTCGGAGTCCTGCTAGGGTGTACCACGGATGATCCGCCATCAGCGTCCACCTCGCTGCTCCTAGAGCTACCAAATACCCCTTATCTGCCTCCCCCTCTCTCTCCCACTGTAGTTTTACGTCGCTCATGGATATACTCAACCATCCCTTCACATTCACATCACTGTTGTTTCGATATGAAAGATTATTGGAGTTTTCATCTCTTGCATTCTTCTGTGGAGTTCTGTTCTCTATGATACTCGATGGAACAAATTTCGCTCCGATGTTCCGGAGCGTCAGCAATAACAGCAGACATCCAGGGAAAATCATATCTGTAACTGAAAGTACTGTATTACTGGTAGATCTTAAATATGTTACACTTTTTTAAATATTAATATATAGAAGAAAATACAATACACTATATGTTGGATTGGATTGTGCGACATTAAACAAACTCAATTACTTGTTAAAAAACCTTTTGGATCTTGAACATATTGCAGTTTTTTTTTATAAATTTTAGACAAGCAAAGAATCATAGCAATGTGTTCATTGTGTTCATCATCCAACGAATGTCCCTTACCCTCAAATTAACAGCCATTAAGAACTAATAAAGAGTCTATATTAATTACATACAGGGTGTGTTAGTTAAGTTTCAAGACTGGTCTCAGGAATAGAAATATATTGAATATTTATGTATAGCGGTCTAAAAATCTTCAAAATAGATTCCTTCTGACATGACGAACAGCGGTTCCAGCACTAGCAAGTTTTCCACTGTCGTAAGGCTTCCAAGGACTCCTCTACAGGAATGGTGTTCGGAATCTGTGTTGAAGCCGTTTGAACTGCTCCGACCGTGCCGAGAACCAAAAGAAATCCCCAGGGGTGAGGTCCGGGTGGCTATACAGGTAATCAAGATTCCATCCATGTAATCAGAGTGGATACGAATGTGTTGCCACATTGTTTTGGGCCAAAGTATGGGTGACTGCTCAACTTCATCCTCCGATGCTTCTGATCGCCCGTGAGGACTTTTGGTGAGAAATAATTTGTCACACTAACTTTGAACAAAGAAATGGTATAAAACAGCCATTTTGGAGAATTAGTCTACACAAACTTTTTGGGGGGGTACCCCTAAACCCCCCAGACCCCCCGATTCGCCCCCCCCCCTTTGTTACTGTTCTAGATCTGCCACTGTTTGAAACACTGTACCGAAGTGTGAATTCATTCCATCCACGATGAGTCTAATGCTCAAGTGCCAGTGTCTGCTCAATTTTCCCACTTTGTAATGATTTTCTTCATGCCACGACGTCCCAAGGCCTTCCACATCCCTCAAAAACATCATCATCTTCACAGCCATCTTTAAACCGCTTGTGCCAAGATGTTTCGCAGGATCACAAAACATACTCTAACTTTGCGCCTGATGATTTCACTAAAGCATCTCACCGGCAACCGGGGAGGGTTTGGTGTCATACCTGAAACCCCCCTTCACTTAGCCAGGGCCACTTGACTGATAGCGCTGTGCTATGCAGGCAAAAAATCTGTCTTATAACTTAATTAAAACACCCTGTACTTCATATACAGAGTGCTCTAAAACTCCCAACTTGTACTGTAAATTAGATGTGCTTTTAGTTTAATTCAAGCATATCTAGATTAAATTATTTCCAATAAATTTTATTTAGAATTGTTAATTTAACATTTAACATTAAAACTTTAATATTTCTCTTTCAGCAGCAGGCCGTAGTACTCATTAAGTATTACATTGTACAGAATTATTAAAAACAAAATCGAGAGATCACATAAATTTATCTAAAACATGCAATCCCATAATATCAAACTTTAGGACAGGATCAAACGTTTAGAACCATTGTATATACAGTATAGTGAAACAAAGCTTTGCAAATAATTATCTTACCAAAAAAATTACTTTTTTAAGCAAAAATAAATTTTTCTATCATAATGGGGACGGTCTACAATATGTCAGGCGGAAATCTTAAATAAGAGCATAAGTTGAGCAGTACATCAAATTAATGGCTGTTAAAAATAACAAGCAGTAGCTACTTAACTTTGTTAAACCATTTTGGCGAGGATGAACCTTTTCATGTTGATTTTGTGTCATCGTCTTCTAGTAAAAGAGACATCAAATTTCATACTACTTCATTCGTACTATTTAACCTATGCTCTCATTAAGGATTTCCCTCCATACATGCTTGGATCAAACTAAAAAATACATCAAGTTTACAGTAAAGTTTGAAATTTGCCTGTACTACATTTTATCTTGAAAACATTTCAACTTGAATATATAAAAGAGTTATATTTATTTTTTGCAAAATTAAAAATAATAATTATTTATCTCAATTTTGGTTGGGTCCAAAACTGACTATCACGAGGAGGCCAAGATTCCTAGATGAATAGCTTTTCACCCGATAAGAACTTTTGTATTTAACAACTTTTCAACCTGTTACAGTATGTTATTAATGTGAACAACAAAGAATGTATAAAATAACCCTCTTCATTATACTGATATTCATAACAATAAAATTATTGTAAACTTGAAATTATATAAATTAATATTAACTGGTATAAAATTGTACAATTTTTTAATTTTGATTTGCAATGCATTATTTTTTATGTTAAAATGTCATCAGTCAATTGGTTTAGCTAGTAAAGAAATATCTGAGCCATTCTACTGCTAATCAAATTACTTCCCCAATAAGATCCATCCATTTGACAAGGAAATATAGTAATATAGTCAGTATGAATTCATAATGTCTCGCGTTCTGAAATGCTTTTGGTTACAACAATGGAGAAATCCCATTTTCATGAATGAATACCTCTACTGAATCCAGGATTTATCAAATTATCAAGAAACATTTGTATAAATTGTGATCCTGTTCATGCATTCATGGAACCATATGTGATGTGGAAAGCAAAAAGAAATCTTGTCGGCCGATGAAATTAATTAAGGCCGAAAATATAGAAATTCGGGTTTTTATCGATTGTTATACCTCATTAAACATATAACAGTACAGTATCAAATCGAAGATGTAAAAGGTTGAAATAAACCATTTTGTTAGCCTCTGCACGTTCTACAAAAAACGTACCTCTTGTCGTTCAATGTTATTTCGCCCTTACGACAAGAGGTCCCATTTCTAATATTCACTTTATAAACAGACTTTAGTCCAAAAAATGAATTGTCCTGCATTCTAGTGAAAATTTAGAGAATTCCAACACAGTTCAGTTTACAGAGAACAAAATATCTCACAAATTTTGCGGTCCCGACAAGAGGTACCTTTTCTTATATTATGAAGAAATAACATAGGGCCGACAAGAGGTCCCTTTTCTGAAATGTGATTTTTAAGACATGATTCGATAAAACAATTATTTAAATTAAAACTGCTGCGAGTTAAGACAACCATTGGTATTATTGTCTCCAAAGAAGACATTATAAGCTTTCTTTTGATACCAAAATCATTTCTAAAATACAAAAAAAACTGTTTTATGCATATTTTAAATTTTCAAAATAATTTTCTCAAAATGACCCTTTTCCATAACAAAATTTCAAACTCCTTAACTTAAAAAAATTGTAGATGCATGGGACTTGCATCAAGTGATTCAGAATTTAATAAGGAATTCAAATATATATATATATAATTCAAAATCCAAAATTCACGACAAGAGGTCCCTATTCGCTTTCCACATCACATATTTAAGGTTTTGACAATCCAAACGTGACCTGATCTGACCTATACATGAACTCACATCATTAGCCAATCCAGTAGGTACTCAGTTCAAGAAACTATCAAGGTACTTTAAGTTTTTCAGTTTGCTCATTGCAAAACTTATAAGATTAATGACTACACTTACCTTTGCCACCCAAAGATACCAACAGACTGAAGAAGTCCCATATAAGTGTATCCAATCTTCTGATGGGCTTTTTGTGCCCCCTCTACCTAAACTTGCACCGTGAACAATTACAGTTAATGACTTTGCATTCAACTACAATAATTATCAAGGAGGCAATATACCATCCCTCATCAAAAAGCTATTTATGACCTCAGGGCTATAACTTGGTAAAGTAATCCACAACACAAATATACAGGGTGTTTTTTTTAAAAACTTGGCACTTTATTTATGTAAAAACCGCAATAGATAGAAATATGCAGTTTGCGGGAATCATCTAGTGACGTAGGGCGCCCAATTGTTTTGAATTCAATGTTACACTCACATTCCCCCCCCTTTCCCCCCTGCCACCAACTTATTTTTTTTTAAATAGCAAGGTACCCCTTGTGACATATCAAATGAAAGAGCATGAAAAAAGAAAATGTTTGATAAAAAAAATTTAAAATCGGTTCATAAATTTGTGAGATATTTCCCCCCCCCCCTTCCCCGGAACTTAATTTTTTTTTTTATAGCAAGGCACCCCTTGTGACATATCAAATGAAAGAGCATGAAAAAAGAAAATGTTTGGTGAAATTTATTTTTCATTTGATATGTCACAAGGGCGGGTACCTTACTATTAAAATACCCCCGCCGCAGCAAACCTGCCGACTAAGCGAATTTCCATTTGTCTGAATTGATTTTCAATTAAATATATTTTAATAACATTAGGTTTAACGAGTACCTAGGTTTGCTGCTACAAGGAAACTAATAAAGTGTGTTTTTGAGTAAAATATTGATAGCTTAGTCAAAATAAATAAATTTGCCAAGTTTGATCAAAATGTATCCATAAACAAGCAAAATACAACATTTGACAATATTCTCCATAAGAATAACATGGGAATTTTAAATTTACAACTTTTTTAATTTTCTCTGTTACTAATAATTGAACAAAAATACTTTTATATACTAAATTATTTGTTTTTTTAAGCTCTTTAAAAAGGTCTAAAGAGAAATCGTGAAATTTTGTGTTTTGAGGGTCAAAAGTGAGAAAAACCAATTTTTACCCCATAAAACCCCCCGTAAAGCCCCGTTCCCATGGTCCGATCGTGCTGGTTCGCGAACTCATTCAAGTTTATCCCGCTTTACACCTTTAAACCAAATTTCATCAAAATCGGACAAAAATTACTCAAGTTATCGCGTTCACGGACGTATATATATATATATATATATATATATGTCTATATATATATACATATATAAAAATTTGAACGAATGGTTTTTTTGGCCTCTGGCTCTGGGGACATCAAAATGAAAAAGTAAATTGGTCCCGGGTCTAGGTCTTACCGTGCCACCTACTGTAATAGCTACTTCCCTATAGGGAAATTCGCTAAAACAAGTTATGGGTAGGGGAAAAGGGGGGGGATTATCTCACAAATTCATGAGCCGATTTTTAATTTTTTTCACCAAAAATTTTCTTTTTTCATGCTCTTTTATTTGATATGTAACAAGGGGTACCTTGCTTTAAAAAAAAATTAAGTTCCGGGGGGGAGGGGTGGAATATCTCACAAATTTATGAACCGATTTTCAATTTTTTTTTTCATCAAACATTTTCTTTTTTCATGCTCTTTTATTTGATATGTCACAAGGGGTACCTTGCTATTTAAAAAAATTAAGTTGTGGGCAGGGGGGGGAAAGGGAGGGAATGTGAATGTAACGATGAATTCAAAAAAATTGTGCCCCCTACGTCAATAGATGATTCCCGCCAACTGCATATTTCTATCTATTGCGGTTTTTACATAATAATAAAGATGCAAGTTAAAAAAAAACACCCTGTATATTATGCATGGTATTGTACGCCTTTTAAACAAATTTACTAATTAAAAAAACTATGCATGGATCTTTATCATCACTTTATATTATATAATTGTTTTATTGATTGTGCATGATCAATAATATTTGTCATGGGAAATGAGTTAACAAGCTTCAAGTACATGACCAATTATGCATTTTTAGAATAAGAGAGATAGAAACTAATAGGCTTCAACTGAATGACCATTATCAATTATTTATATCCAAGCAAGCGGTATCTTGGTATCTATAGAAGTTTACTAGCTACCTGCATGATGAATCTTACATTTCAGCGTAAAGAAGGTTAAGTTAAAGTCTTCAACATCATGATCAACTATATCTATGTCAGATTAAGTTTCAACACTGCATTATCAATTATACTTATAAGATATGGGAAATGTATGAGAAATAATTAAACACATGATCAATATAGAATAGGAATAGGGGTAAGGAAGATAGAAGTTTACAGGCTTCAACTCTACAACTGGCCGATCAATTATCAATATCAATGTAAGGGATATAGAAGTTTACAAGCTTCAACTGCATGATCAATTATCAATATCAGAGTAAGGGGGATAGAAGTTTACAAGCTTCAATTACATGATCAATTATCAATATCAGAGTAAGGGAGATAGAAGTTTACAAGCTTCACAACTACACGATCAATTATCAATATCAGAGTAAGGGGGATAGAAGTTTACAAGCTTCAATTACATGATCAATTATCAATATCAGAGTAAGGGAGATAGAAGTTTACAAGCTTCACAACTACATGATCAATTATCAATATCAGAGTAAGTAAGGGAGATAGAAGTTTACAAGCTTCACAACTACATGATCAATTATCAATATCAGAGTAAGGGAGATAGAAGTTTACAAGCTTCAATTACATGATCAATTATCAATATCAGAGTAAGGGAGATATGGGAAATGTATGAGAAATAATTAAACACATGATCAATATAGAATAGGAATAGGGGTAAGGAAGATAGAAGTTTACAGGCTTCAACTCTACAACTGGCCGATCAATTATCAATATCAATGTAAGGGATATAGAAGTTTACAAGCTTCAACTGCATGATCAATTATCTATATCAGAGTAAGGGGGATAGAAGTTTACAAGCTTCAATTACATGATCAATTATCAATATCAGAGTAAGGGAGATAGAAGTTTACAAGCTTCACAACTACATGATCAATTATCAATATCAGAGTAAGGGGGATAGAAGTTTACAAGCTTCAATTACATGATCAATTATCAATATCAGAGTAAGGGAGATAGAAGTTTACAAGCTTCAATTACATGATCAATTATCAATATCAGAGTAAGGGAGATAGAAGTTACCAGTCTTTAACTTGGGGATCAATTATCTAAATCATGGTGAGGGAGATAGACATTTACAGGCTTCAACAACACGATCAATTATCAATGTCAGAGTTAGAGGGTGGGTATAGCAGAGTATAGGTTAGAAGTATATGGTATCATCCAGTAGAAACCTCTAAGATAAATTATTTATATAAGATATGGGAAATGTACTAACATGCTTAAACTTACTGATCAATTATCAATGTCAGAGTAAGGGAGTTTGAAGTTAACAGGCTTCAACGTCTAACAGAACTGAGAATTCATCTGTTGGGCAAAGCAGCATTCTTGGTGTAGTTTTTACATCTGTTCTACATATTTCATTAAAAATACGCCTTCCAACGCTGTTTGATATACTAGTAGGTAGTTAACAACCACCACACGTCTTACTTGTACATCTTTTCTTCACGTTTCTAGTCATGTAGGTGATACGTATTTTAAATTCCACTGGTCCTTAATAAATTACCCGCTGTACAGAGCTCCGTAGGCTCATGCCATTGGATATATACCTATATAATATAGGCCTATCCTATAGAAGTATAGGTAGGTGTAATGTGACTGTGTATAGTGAATGTTCTTTCATTGATTGATTGAGTCTGCATATTGCTGATAAAAAAACTAGACCTATGCCTACATAACTTTCCTATCAACGCATCATCTGTAGCTAGGTACAAGAATGTCTGTTATCATGCAGTAGATTATACAATGAAGATGCACCTGCAAAAGGAAGACGAACATGAACGGAGAGCGGAGGAAGTGGCGGGAAAGGAAAGGAAAGGAAGAAGTGTACAAGGTCATATGCCGGTCGGCCGCGCACACTTCTAACAGACCATGAAAGTCATACCTCTTGCGCTTTTTCTGTTACAATTAGTTACCCTTTACACTGAGAAGTTTAGTATCATGCTGTAAACTTGCCGGCTTGGTAAGAATTTTTTTAAATAATATAAATTAAAAAAATATTAACAAAACTGGAGTTTGTGCAATATTTTCAATATTTGTAATTTTGTGACAAACTTGAGCATTTTTAGCATTTTAGTTTGGAGTCATCATTTGTTTGAATTGTAGTATGTTATTATATAATACTTTTTAACAGTTCTGACCATGGTATAGTAATGTTTTACCATAGCAATTTTGCAAATTATCGCGTGGAAAAACATTTATTCAAGCTCGAGATTATGTTTAGATGACGCTCTTCATTCATATAGTCTAGCAAAAATGCTTTGATGATAGAAGATTTTAATATGTAACACACAACAAATTTAGATGCTTTACCTTAGTTTTTAAATGTCTGTAGATTGTTATCAAACAAACGTCATTGCTGTCATTGCCACCTATGAGAAACACCACCAAAAACGTTGTTATATATGTAATATTTTAACCAAATCAAATCGTGCCATCCTTATTTTGCTCAGAGTAATCTGTACAAAAGCGTCAGAAAGTTTACCAAGAAAAAATAAATCTTAACTCTAAAAGTAATATAACAACTAAAATTCAACAGAAGAGCATTTATTTATTCAATCGATCACTTTAAAAATTATATGGGAGCTTGCTCTACTAGTAGGCGTTTCACAGCTCTCCCAAATGTTGGAGTTCAGGCAGCACGTTGAAGAACCTCATACTGTTATAACAATGCCATTCAAAGGATTTTGTACTGTGTTTAGGTACCTAGCTGAATATTTTTTCTGTGCCTAAGACGCTGTGTCTGGAAATGTAAGAATATTGTGTTCCTTAAAGAGAGGCTTGCAAGAAGTGTGACGGGATATTCTAAAAGCGAATCTAGAGCGTTCTTCTGAAGACGGAAGACAATCGAGAAGGTTGGGAATTTC